GCTACAATCTGAAGCAGCATGCTTCCAGAGATGAGAGAGGGATTTTCAAAGCAACAATAGTTTGAAGTAGAAAACAACTGTGTGCAGAAGACTGCAACAGTGCATGATCTGCCAGGCTGCTCACCACATTCATTTACCTCCTGTGGTACCGCTTTACTGACCCTAATCAAAATTAGGCTGATTTTGGCCAATTAGTGCATAGCAAGAAGTTGTCCTATTCTCAAAGTCATAAAACACAGTAAGACAGAAGTAATACTGTCCTCATTTTATAGGTGAAATGGTATCGCTTGACCAAAGGCACAGGAAGTCCCAAAAGCTCCAGCATCGAAATGCAGTCTTAAATCCTTGCCTGGCCTATGAGAGCACCCTTCTCTGTGAGCCTCAAGGAGTGAGATGTCCCAAGCATGACAGAATTGTGCATCAGCCTGCAGCTGCAAAATGACTGCTCAGGAAAATGGCTACAATTGAGATGCCTGGGTTTACTGAGAGCTGCATACAGCCATTCAGGCAGCAGAGACCCAGAGGTTAGGTTGACACTGAAATAGCAATCTAGAGACTTTATCCCTTCCTTCAGACAGATAAATAGCACGTGAATTTTGTAAGGACACTAGGAGCTTCAGCCAGACCGCTGGACAGGTGCCCGTTCACTTTGTAGCAAAGCAAAGGCACATCCTATGGCTTGCAGAAGTTGAAGCCTTCGCTGCACAAATGGAGAGAGTTCAATAAGAGATGTGCTGAGGGAAAGTCCTCAGCCAAGACTGCTCCAAAGCACTCAGCACCCAAGCTAAATAAAGATTCTGGGGTGGAGGGCAGGAATGGAGCAGCTCATCCCATCCCAGCCAAGAAGACAACACCCCTGCAAAAGTACAGCTGCCAGCTTCCCAAGAGCAAGTGAACAAACGGCAAGGACATCACACAACTGAAGCTGCGAGATACTGGTCAGAAGCTTGACCCTGAGTTGCCGTTTGTGCAGTAAGGGAAAGAAACAACACAAATGAATGGGAGACAGAAAATGGGTTAAACCCTTGTCTGGCCACACTGATGTCTGCTTGTAAGCAGAGTCTCTAACAGAGAGCTCCTCTCAGCTGTCACCACAAGGTTGAGAGATGTCTTTTTGGCTGGCTTTGCTTTTGCTAGCAAGCAGCCTGAAAGTGGATGCTGGCAGAATGAAAGCTCTCCCAGATACAGCTGACTCCCTTGTAAATAAGTAGATTAAAAGCTTATTTCAAGTCACAACTGGGAAAAATATTATAAAGCCAAAGCAATGCCAATGGCCTACTGACATTTTGCATTGCTTACAGTCAAGTGTAACACCATATGAATCTGGCTGTGCCCTTCCTTCTGGTGAAGCACCAGAAATCTCACTAGAGAATGGGGCCAGAAGATCTTTAAGTTTGTCTTTTTGTCAAGAGGAATGCAGATATATTTATATTACCTGAACAACCACAGGGATGTAAAGAACACGAACACTTTTAGCCACCACCCCACCTGGAGTAAGCCTGACATCTCCAGAAGCTGGACTTCCAGAAATACTGAAGAGACAGAGGTGCTGGCACAGAGAAGGAGGAAACAGAAACGACGTTGCCTCATGGGAAGGAAGCATTGGCCCTGAAAAGCGTTCTTGCTGAACCTGTCACACAGCAGCTACAGTCAAACAGGCAATCCTTAAGGACCACAGACGAAATAGAGAAGCTTCTTCGTATTACAGGAACACTCTCAAGGACTGGTGAGCTAGAGGAGGCATTTAGTGACACAAGGGATCCTTTGCTTCCCCTTCCATGAAGCTACTGTAGGCCCTCTCCTGTGTTTTGCAAAGTGCTGGGAGAGGACACTATCAGATTTGATACTAGTCACACTGGTTTTCCCTGTTGAAGGTATCTATATCTACTGAAGATTTCCTTACTTAGGATGTCTCCCTGAGATGAATCCCTTGACTTCACAAGGTACCAGGGCTTGCAGCATTTCTGGACTTCAATCCTGCAGTAGCAGGATTAGATGAAACATGAGTAGAGGTGTCCTTTGCTGTTAGTGAGAGCCATGGTGGCAAAATGGCAATCCCATGGTCTCAAGTTCTGCCATGCCGCATCCATTGTTCTCTTTTTGGGAAAAGGTAGTTTGAAACACAAAAGAGGTAACATTTACCCTAACCACAAAGCAGTTGTCTTCACCCTGCACGACAGACACAAGAAAAAACAATCTCTGAGAAAACCAGGACAGCTCCCAGGCAAACAGTAGTGTCCCCCAAAGCTTTCAGACATGCTAATATAGCTTTTGGGGTTTGGGTTGCTTTTTGTTTTGTTCTGAAAAAGTATAGAATCACTCTCCAACTGCTAGTTCAGAGACATGTCAAAGGAAGCTGTGCAGACAGTGGCTAGCAGAAGCTTACAAGTGTCATCAAAGCCAGTTTCTTAGCAGAAAAATAAGGAAAACCAGTATAACTTGTAAAGAACTGCACTAGCAAGTGAGGTGCTGAGTAGAAGAGAGACTCAGCTGCCCTGTGACTTTGGGGACTGTCTTTCTCATTGCTATCCTGAGGATTTTTCATCTGAAAACAGGAGATTGGAATTCACCAGAATTTGGAGAGAAATTGGTGTTTCCTGAAGAGACAATATTGGTTTTGCTGAAAGAGAGGAAAAAATTTCATTTTAAAAAAATTAAAACCCTCAGCCTAACCCTGAGACAAGAGAAAGCCAATTATTTACATATCCCTAGGTACTGAAAACATAACATTGATAGGCTGCTGCATAGGCCCAGGAAGACCTCAACCACACAGCATAACTCAGGGTTACCAAATGTTCCCCATGGTAGTTACATGCCACAAGATCCATCATTTTCAGTGCCTGTTTTTCATTGTTATCAGAAGTGAGATGCCGAAAACAAGCAACCACGTACAAAAGATGTCAGAGATTACAATCACTTATCCAACAACTCACTCAACTGTCGGGACCTCAGTGGCTTCAATGTCATTGCAACTTGTTCCTGGGCTCTCCCTTTCATACAGTGGCAGCAGAGCAAATGATGAGGAGCCAGCACTTGCTGCTCCTGCTATATCTTTGTTGATAACCAAGTGGGCTCCAGGATTTGTCAGCAGCTTTCTGGAGGTCCTTGGGAAAGAGAGGGTCTTTCTCTACTTAATGCAAGAATGTCGTATGACACAAGATTAGAGGACAGAGTCACTTTCTTGGAAGGATGCCATTCGCTTCACTCGCATTTCCTCCCACTTGCAAAGGGAACAGAGCATTAGTGTCCCCTCATCTCTTCTGGTAGGTTTTTCATGGTGATCATCTTCCAGAAACGTAGCTCCCGTCAACTGAGCTTTCACCAGCTGAGATCTTAAATACCAATAAGCCAAGCTTGTTTTTCCATGATATTTTCACATAGAAAGAAAAATTGAGAAGTCTGCTACCATTCTGCATTGTCTGCTAACAATTGGACTTGTCAGGCAAATGAACTAAACTACATTTGAAACTGAAAACGTTCCATGAATAACAGCGTCACAACAGCACACACTACTCAATGTCTCTGGGTTAACAATGTAAGAATCAATATGTATGAGTAACTGCAGGAGCCCACAAGAAGGATTTTTACTAGTAAAAATCAATTTTTCAGTACTTATGAAGCTACAGTTATGTTAACAAGGAAAAATAAGCATGATTTTTGGCAAATTCAGGAAACAAGGTGAAAGCTCACAAGTTTCTAATGACAACTGTGTGTATAAAAAGTCTGGGAAAGCTGCAACAGAAGTTTGGCCATGTTAGTGTAAAATATTAAGTGCTTCAACCGCAGCCCTGCATAAAACAAGACCAAAGAGACACCAAAGCAGATACATTACAAGTGAAAAAACTTAGACTAACTAGTGGCCAAGTAGAAACTGGAGAACCAACTGTGGTGACTGCCACATGGAAAATGTGAATTCCAGATAAGAGTCACAAGAACAGAATGGGAAGGTGGATCTCTGGGTATTTAAGTGGGTAGGTTCCAACCACATTCTGGGTAGGTTATCACCTTCAAGACCACCTCAATCAGTGCCCTGTGGGTGAATTTTTAACAATAGCAATAAAACGATGAAGCTTTGTAAGCTAAATTATGGGTTTCTCTACATGGGAAATTGTTATAGAAGCTAGGTGTAAATTTAGAGCACAATGGCTCTTTTGCACCGATTTCCAGATGGGTGGGTAACACTATTCTGCTCTGAGAACGTCTTTCAGAGAAGGCAAAGCTCAACAATACAAACACATTTTGCATACTAAAAGGTGGTAGTTGGGGATAGCTACTTAACACGTTTTTTGTTGGGTTTTTTTTCTTAGTTGTAGTCAAGTCCAAAGGCTGTAAATGACTGAAAAACAAAGCAGGCTAACATCAGACTTGAGCAAGTTTTTGGCAAGTCAGTGTCTCTAAGCTTTTTTTCCTCATCTGGGGATAGGGGACACCGTGCTTTCATGAATGTCTCTAAAGGATACTGAGATGCAGGAGAAAGAGGAGCTGTAAGAAAATTCCACTCTGAAAGATTTAGGGCACATCACCTCTGCCCATCACCAACTGCAAGGAATTTGACCAAAGCTTTCCAGTGTATGTGATCAATAATCCCATTAAAGACCCAAGTACGAGGACTCGATACCAACAAGCCATATAGATTTATTTGTCTAGCATCTCTGCTAACTCTGTTCAGTTACACTGCACTCTCTCTGCTGGACTTAACATTATTTAGCTTCATGCCTGACTAGCTGAAGGCTCCTGCCTAGAGAAGCACAAACTGGTATTACAACCTGAGCTAAACTCTTTCACATAGCTTGTCCCTAACGCTACACTTACCTTCATGTGTAATTACTCTGCAGCCAACACCAGTGGCATTCTTCAGTTACACCACTACAAAGCAGGTGGTGGTACTAGCATCACATCTGACCCATTGATCTCAACCACCTATGCAAGTACTCAAAAGCCAATCAATTTAATGAGAAGTGCAGGAAAATCTGGGCAATGTGAGACATGAAGATGTTTACCTCACTAAGTTGGCACATGGTCCAGGCCACCGGCAGCTCTGGTAGACTCGCTGGATCACTGTTTCTGACCCATTCTGCACTTGGCAGGAAACTGTCCGTGTCACTGTATAGTGACACCAATGCCTGCAGAGAGAAAGGAAACTGTTAGCCCCAGTAACAGCAAGCCGAACCAGCATGTATCAGACTGCAGTAAAAACAGACCAAGTATATCGGGTGGGGCTGTTTCTTCTGCCAGCCCCAGCTAGCCTAACTTGCAGTCTCCATTGCTCACCCCACCCTCTCTCCCAATAGCTGCAGAGACTCCCTGCTTCTGCCAACCTGAACCACAAGAAATCCAGTGACGCCTCTTGCTTGGTCCTCAGAGGCCAAAATTTTATAGTACATAGTTTAGTTCTGTTATTTACTGTTATTTATCATAAACAACAGGACCTTAGGGGAGGGGAAAAAAAATAACTTTTAAAAGTGTTCCAATTCTCCCGATAATCAGTTCCCATGGTACGGGTCTTAATTTCACGCTGCTCATTATGGTATTGTTGCCCAGCCCCCTACCTTTCTGAACAACATCCAAGTTGGGAAATTCTGCTTTTTTGTCTGGTGAAGTTCATTGTCAGCAGGGCTCGAACAAGCTAGGTGCTGAACAAGTTATACTGCTGTCCTGCTGAGGTTACAGTCTAAAAACTGTAAAAAAGAAAATGCAGGGGAGGGAGGGACTAGTGTCTTATGCTACTTCATAAGAAAACAAGAGCAAGAGATCCCTCCTCACCGTAAGGCATGTGAGAAGGCAAGAACTGCAGTGTCAGCCCTGGCAATCAGGATCTAGAGACCATTTTTCAGAGAAGGTGGAAAATAAGTTTCTAGGTTCCAGTGTCATGTTTGAGGGAGGAAAAAAAGGATAACTTTATCTTCCCCTTGCAAGCATCATTTATATTTGCCAAATTCTGGTTCACATTTTTGCTTTTGTGCTTTAGTGTAGCCAACAGATTTGAGAGCCACTTTCCTACTGATCAGAGATCAGTACTGGGGTCACTGATGGGAAGGGAAGACACCAGCTTGTGCACCAAAACACACGAAATGCTTGTGTAGAGCATTCCCTGCACATGCAGAACAGTCCTGGTTCCTCATCCATCTTAGCAGATCCCTTCTCCAAGTATCCCAGTGGCTCCCCTACCTTGCATACCAAAACTCAAACTGCTTGCGCAGTGGAGACAGGTACCTGCCCATCGCTTCCTCCTTCTCTAACCCACCTTTTCCCACAGCAGTTCAATTTTTCCAGTATTTGCCATTTACAGCATTTGTTGCATTTTGTTTCCTTTTCGGATTCCACTCCTATCTCCACAGGAGGCTCCCTGCTCTCCGGACAGCACTCGTTTCCATGAATAGGAGGTACGCAGGCCAGAGGCTGAGCTGAGTGCTGCAGGCCACAATGGACAAGCTGGGGCCAGCAGCCTGCTCACCAAACCTTCAGCTACAGAGAGTGCCATCGAGACCCTCAGCTGCATCAAGGCAGAGCCACATGGCGCTCCCTGCACACACTGCTCCAGCTCACTGCAAACACGCTTGCAATTCCTCATCAGGAAGCTTGGACTACAATCACATCTCAGGTGCCCCTATGCTTTGTTATGTAGGTTATGTCCCTCTGGCCTTCTCCCACCACAGAGTCATCTGGGAAGAAGTACCTTTCTACGGTGTGGAACTGCATTATCCTGCACTGACTATTTCACTCTAATTCTGATTTTGATGGGTTTCTGAGGCAACCTGTCCCACTTTCTTGGGTACACACAAAGCGTTTCTGTGTCAGATAAAAAACTAAGTTCAACCACTCTCTGAACAAAACCCTTCCTATCTGATACTGAAACTAGAGAACTTCATATTCCTGAAGGCAAATGAGGCAGGAGGGTGAACAAACACCACCACCCATCCCAGCACGATGCAGAAGAGAAAGGCAGGTGCTGGAGGCAGACTCCTCAATTGCCAGAGGGAATCTGGCAGCCTACTGCTCCAGTTAACATATAACAGCAGCTCCAAATGGCAACTCCTCAACAGAAATGGGAAACTAACCACCATTCCCTTTAGCCTTCTCTTGCACAGACCCAGATTTAACATCATCTTGCTCCTTCAAGGTTTATTTTCAACCAGCTTGGAAGCCTAGCACTACTTTTGTGGATCTGGAGCTAAACAGGTGGCACTGTGCAGGCCACCTATGTCAAAACCTGCAGGAGAGGTTGATTATTTTAGGCTATCTACAAAGCTGTTCTTGTCAGGGCTTTCGTTAAGTGGGTGCTGCCAGCATGCACACAGACTTTTCTTTCCACATGGGTCCAAAACAGCTGTTGTCCAAGTAGGTCTCTCACAACTTTGCTCTAGATGGTCCTTGGAATCATCTTTTCAGGTACACATATGCTCTTACAAGTTCAAGGAATTCGGCAGTCAAATTGTCACTTCTACCTTGGAAAAGCATCTCTTGGAAGTGAGATGTGCTGGACAGACCTTGTTACGATCTAGTGACAGAGCCTGAGACAGCACACGGGACAGAAGACTGCACATTTAGGGGGGAAACCCAAAAATTTCTCAAGTTCATTTCTTCAGATGAGCTGCTCAGGGACGTGGTACAAAGGGAAGCAGTCATTATAGGAAGTGAGAAGCTTCCCCAAGGCTCTCCACTTGCTTTCCTTGCCTGAAGCCATCATCTGGGTATGCCAGGCTGAACAGGACTGATAGCCCATGGCAAAACAACAGTTTTGCACTGCAAGAGTGCCGTGACAGTGATAAAGCACCACAACTTTTGTCACCTCAGCACTTTTAGAGTCTTCTCTAAAGCAGAGCCACCACAGCATGGGTGGCTGTGCCACACAAGGGCAAAACCAAACAGAAACAAGTCAGACCCCAGAGATACCTAGATAATTCACCATAAATGTATATTTCTGTAACTTCTTTCTTTACCAACAGAAAGAGGAGTTTGGAGTTTGGTTACAAAGGCACCCACCCAGGAGTACATTCCCATTTGCAAAACTTCAGACTCATGGCTTCCCATAAGTAGCATAATTCTCCTACAGATGCAACTTGTAGGTGTTTGGTTTTTACTGTGGCATAGAAGCAGGGGAGACAAAGACAGGCACATAGCTGATCATGAGGTGTATAAGGATATATCGCTTGGGACTCACTGTAGATATAATAGCACAGTGACTATGACAGAGACAGACAAAACCACACCAAGATTTCTCTTTGCAAGCCAGAAGTCAGCAAGCACAGCCTCCAGAACGCAGGCAGGCTTCAGACAAAGTGACGAAAGGCCCCATCACAGCTTGCAGAGATTATAAATGACCCTTTATATTATATACAGATGCTAGCAAGAAAGGTTTAGGACTTTTACTGGCACGCATCCAGGATGGCAGAGACTCTATTGCTGCTCATTCAAAAAGACCATTTCAACCAAGAAAACAAAGTGACCCAAATAGCAGCTCCTTTAGGGCTGGCTCTGTCAGATCTCATGCATGCTCATCACTGGCATATTTAGCATGATGCCCTGCACCATCTCATGGAATTGCTCTTGCACTGCTTTGCTTAGAGGCAATTCTCACTTGGTCCCTTTTCCCCAGCCCTTTCCAAAGAGACATCCTCCTCTCACACCCTATTTAATACTTGGAAGATTTTCATGGACAACTGAGCATCTGCTGACTATGGCCTGCAAACTACTGCTTTAGACAGTTTCGGTCCAGGGCTACAGATCAAGATCTCACGTCTTGACCACAGCTGACAACGCGTCATTTCAGAGGGAATCTGAGTGGTGAAGCCAGCAGATATCCAATCATATTTACTGTGTAGTTTCAGGATGTTACTGTGGACATTTCAGGCTAACTAGAGCAACAAACTCAGGAGTTTGCTTCCATTTGGAGATATTCTGGAAACTGCTATTCTGAACTTCACAGACCCCTCCCTCAGATGTTTACAGCCGTAATCCTACAGTAAGGGAGAAAAGGGACTACAGAGAGTAGAGACATGTAAGGTAACAAATACTCAAGATAAAGTACTGTAAGTTCCAGAATAGCAATATACTCCCATATCAATCCTTAATTCCTGACTAGCATGACTGAATTAGCTTAGAGCAATCATTTCACAAACAGGAAGACACTGACAGACAGCAAGCTTCCTCTTCTCCTCCCCTTTCACCACTTGGACTTGCACAGTGCTCTTTCCTAAGCCCACCACTCAAAGGGTACATGTAAGGGATCCCTCCACTCACTCACCAACTGTGAAGGCTTAGAAAGACTCACACCACAACAAATTTACAGAGCCACCCCCAAAAGCAGCATTTGCTTTTTTTCCTAGTCCAAACTGCTGACTTTTGTCCAAGCTTCTTAAACTCCCGAGAGTCCCTGGAGGACCTTCTAGGGGGTTTACAAAAGAAAAGCCAACTGGTTGTTAGTAGGCTTCATTTCACTGGACAAGTGAGCACAAACTGAACTATGTCAGAAACCACTGGGCTGAACTGATCAGGACTCAGCAAGTAGCCTGTTTAATCAGGAGTCTGTAACTTAAAAATGAACGCAGCTACGTTCTTGCCAAATCACTTCTTTCAGTGGGACAACAGTTCAGCCCCACACGCTTGCTGCCATGCCCCACTAAGGGCAGACCTACAGCAGGCAACACCTACCACACACCAGACCTTCTGGCTGATGCGTTCACTGGAGTGAAAGACACAGCTACAACTCCAACGTCAGTGGCCTTATAGCACATCATGCTCCTACCAGCTTGAAATGCTGTGCTTTCGGCAGACAATCCTACACATTAGACTCTGAAAAGAGCCATTTATGCTGTTGTAGAGCTAAGTAAAATGGAGCTTTATTGTGGTTTATTAGTTATGATGAAAGCATATGCCACAAAGTACAACACAGAAGCTCAAATCACCAAGACTTAACTGGCCAAGACAGAAGCAAGCAAAATCTTTCTGGAAGAGGGGTGGGGGAAACCAACCCAAAACAAAAAAAGACTTTACATGCAGGACTGTTTCATCAGCACCTGTTGCATGTGTTTGGACATGAACTGACCCTCCACTCCCAGTAAATATTACAGGAGTCTCTCAAGAAGGTTGGCATTTCTGATGCTTGTGATTTGCCCTAAAGCTT